TTGCATGCACAAGGCCTTGGGTCCAATCTCCAACACCACAAAAAAAAAAGAAAGAAAGAAACCCCTCTCTTCTCCTTTATCTTCTGGTTGATTATTGGCTTTGCACTCATTCCATTCTGCTGAGGAATCATATAATCATAGATCCTTTGAAGATTGTTTTTATTTCACTTTTTCCACTTTTTTCCTGCAAGCCCATAAACTCCATCCAAATTGGTGCATCTATCAAGAAATCATTTACTTTTGTTGATGAGTGTTGTTCTGCTATTAGGGTTATGCCACATTTTATTTAACTATTCACCCAGAGAAGAACAGGTGGGCTGTTTCTGGTTTGGGGCTAGTATGAAGTTTTTGTATAAACACAAGTTTTTAATTTTTCCAGATAAATGCCCAGCAGTACACTTGCTAGGTCATATGTTAAATAGTATGGCTAACTTTGAGGAATTGCCAATCTAATTTCAAGAATGACTATACCTATACATTTAGATTCCCATGTTACACATGAGAGGTAATATAATAGTCATGATTTCTAACATTTTTTCCATAAGCCTAAAAAAACTAGATCGTCTCCTAAATTTTATAACCTTAAAATTTTTTAAAACAGAAATTTTTAAAATTTTTTTCTGGTTCCCAAATACTTTTTATGACCTCTACAGGTAATTTACAATTTATGATATTTATATAAAATTTATAATTATAATAATCTGTACATTGATAGCTATGGTCATATAGCAAACTGCAAAAAAAAAAAAAAAAGTGAAGTCCATTTAAGCCCATAGTAGAAACAGTAAACATTCTTCTTCCAGTCTATGAAGACTAAAACTTCAACAGCACTTTCTAGTACTTAGTATTGTGAAATGTGATCCCAATGCATTAATATTTAATCATCAAAAGATGATACACATGAGTTCCACTGACACATGGTAAACAATTTGAGGAAAAAAACCTGAAATACAGTGTAGTTATCTTGGCTATAAGATTTCATGGTTTACTTTTTAAATTTTAGATAAAACTAACAATTATATAATGCAGTCTGGGTTCTTAAAACAAGGAGCTAAGTCTAGAGCAGACATAGTGGCTCACATGCAAACAGTAGGTACACTGGCAGTCCACAAGGAGAAAACTAGCACAAAAAAAAATTATGACTTCAAAAAAGGTCTTATTAATAGGATGGTACTGTCCTCAGTCCTACTAATTTTTCAATTCTTATTTGTAGCTCTTTGTGCAACCATTGTGTTCCTGATACTGAGTTGTATAAGATGAATGTTTCCTTCCAATGTTAAGTATATTTACTTTAAATACATATAACATTCTTGAATCTCAAACTAATTACTTGGCAATTCAATTATATCTTCACATTTAATGTACAACTTACTGGTAAACATTTTAGTGTATGTTTTTGTTGGGGTTTTTTTATTTGTTTGGCACTGGGGATTGAACCCAGGGGCACTTAACCACTGAGCCAAATTCCTGGCCCTTTTTTTGTATTTTATTTTGAAACAGGGTCTCACTGAGTTGCTTAGGGCCTCGCTAGTTGCTGAGGCTGGCTTTGAATCCACAATCCTCCTTCCTCGACCTCTTGAGCCACTGGGATTACAGGCATGTGCCACCAGGCCCAGCCTAAAATATGTTTAATGATCATCCCAAAATATGCCAGTGTAAAGAGTGTTTATCTTAATTTTGAAATCCGAAAACACTGGTTCTCATTCTTTAGGGTTAAACCCACTGAGAGATAGGAGTTATTTCAAGGACTCATCAAAATCCATGGACAGTCATGTGCCACACAGTGACATTTCTGTCAATGGATTACACAAATGAAGCATCACCTTGGGCTGGGGTTGAGGCTCAGCAGTAGAGCACTCACCTAGCAAATGTGAGGCCCTGGGTTCGATCCTCAGCACCACATAAAAATAAATAAAATAAAGGTATTGTGTACAACTAAAAAATAGATATTTTTTTTTAAAAAAAAAATGACGTGGTAGTAGTCAGTTTGTATCAATACTACAATATTCACACATCACTTAACGATATATTTCTCATTTCTCAAATCATGTCTCTGTTGTGCAGTGAGTCATGACTATACTTACCTGAACACCAAATAAAATATATGGTTCAAAAAAAATTTTTTTTTCAAAGTTGACAAAAAGATGCTATGGGTAATAAAATTCTTAACAAATTTACTGAAGAATGTTAGTAAAAGTAGTTTCTTGCCATCTGTACTTAGTGATGAATATTAAAAACCTAATATTAGTATGACTGGGGAGGATACTACATACCTCTATAGAAATTTTTTTTTTAATGTTGCCTGTATGTCATCCAGAACAAGGATGTGTATGGTTTTGAGCACAAAGATTTAAAGCAACATTGGGAGAGATGGAGTAATTGAGAAAGCACATGAAATTACTTCAAAACAGCAACCTCAAAATATGGAGCACTTAGATCATCATTCAGGAGTCAAGTGAGTCAGGATCCAATGGCATAACCTTCTTCACCTCCTTATAATGGCAAGTAGGAAGAGTCACAGAAACTTTGGTTGAAAAGGCCAAATATAGAGTACAAATACATATTGGTTAGCACCTAGCAAAATGCTTTGTGAGGCATTTATAACCTTTCTAAATTAATCTTGCATTCCTATAAAAATTCCACATTTTCTACATTTCACCAATACTGTAGTTTTTCAAATGTGCTTTATACATTCACCAGCTGTGTGTATGCCAGATGTTAAATAACTAAAGTCAAAAAGAACAGTCTACATTAATTTAAAACAAAGAAAATTTGCTTCAACAAAACAGGACAAGAATAGACTTTGCACCTAATGCATTCCCGGTAAATGGTAGGCAAGTGATCTCTAGTGAATAAATGAATCCACTTTTTTCTCACTCTGAAAAATAACTTCAGCAAGTATACAAAACATCCAACCAGTCTGAAGAATATTCTCCAGTCCTATTCAGTTACCAATCATTTTCAGAACCCATCAAGACCAATTTTCAGGAAAGTCTCCCTCACTCACACAAAGAAGCAGCATTTAATTCCCATAAGGCTCACTGCCTGATATGTGCAGATAAGAGCATTTGCACATTTGCATAAATTCAGGAGTCATCCTTTTTCATTTGATGTAAGGTAAATTTCAAAGCTTTGCTGCATTTCCAAATTTTTATTTTTTCAAATAAAAGACATTTTAAAGTTTTATTTTTCTAATCAAAATCCTATTCATAGTATATCTTATTAGGGAGCTTTAAAGGGAAAAAAAGTTGTCAAAATTAAAATCTTGCTTCTCCTCTCCTAGACATCTGGGACAGTTACTTTATTACTATTTCACATTAGTTCTCAAACTTAAAAAAAAAAAAAAAAAGTTGGCCTGTTTCCTTTAAGAAATTTAATTTTAGGGTCTGTCAACATTTTGAATGCATTACTGTTATTTTTAAAATACACATTCGCATACTGGAATAAAACTTAGCATAAGCTTCCCATATAACCATTTCCTGGGCACTTACTAACTTAGTATATGCCAGGCTCCATGCTTAACACATTACTCCATTATCTCATTTGTTTAACAAATATCCTCTCATAATTTCTGCAGCACTGAGCATAACAAGAAGGCATTACACTACAAAACTGATATTCGTACTGTATACTGGTACTGTACTAAATTGACAGTAATGCCTAACACAAGCTTATTGTTATTAAATTCTTCTTCTGCTACTGTATCTGATCAGCGATGCTAAGATGCACAAATACCATCTGTGGTAGCATCAACACAACCGAGAAAGCTATTATTAAATGACAGAGTACTTAAGTTACATTCCCTTCTACAACACAGGTAGCAGACAAACACAATCTTATCTACCCATAAATTTAATTCCAGTTAGTACATGTCATTTTGAATGGCAAAACATAACCCGCATAAAATGACTATGTAAAGAACTCTTGGGGCTGGCGCGGTAGCTCAGTGGAAGAACGGTTAGGTTCGATCCTTAGCACAACAAATAAAATAAAGGTATTCTGTCCATCTACAACTACAAAAAATTAAAATTAAAAAAACTCTTGCTTCTGAAATTATTTTAAAATTGTAGATATGCTCAGCATGTCATAAACAGCACGATGCCTTTATTCTGAACTCTTAAAAATAAATGCTGCCCTTCAACGTTTTTCAGTCTTTTTTTTTAATTTCAGACTCAACAGATGGACAAATCCAGTCCAAAACAAAAAACTGAAACACATGATTAATGAGGCTCTTCAACAGTCCCCTAAATTTAACCCCACGATTCTCCCAGGAGTAAAACTGGTATTTCCAAGTTGTTCCATAAAATGGAAATGGGACACCACCCTCCCCACCGCCGCCACGGGTGAAGAGTCCAGAAAAACGGGTGACTTGAAAGAAAAGATGTTAAAAGGGGTTAAAAAACAAAATGGGTGGCCTCAAACTAGCGTCTCTGTCACTGCGACTGTCTGTCCCGAATTACTCTGTGGGGAAAACGACGTGCGGCCCTGGAACGTCAGTAAAGGGTGGCGCCCTGTCAACTAGAGACCCGAGGGGGAAGCGTCAGGACGACCGTAAAAACCGCGGGCGCCGGCGCGGGCTCAGCCCCGCGCGGCAGGAAGCCGAGCTGAAGCGGCGGCCTCGGCCTGGACCGGGAAGGCCCCAGGTCCGAGTCACCCCGCCCGCGGCGGCCTGGCCAGGACCGGGAAGGCCCCTACGAACGCGCACGCCGGCGCTGCGCGGCCGTCCCGTTCCCCTCCAGACCCGGCCGCGGCCTGGCCCGCCCGGCGGGACGCGGCACCACCGCGCACACGGGGCCGGGTTCACCGCCGCCCGGCCCGGCGGCCGTGCAGGGCTGAGTGCGCCCCGGGCGCTGGCGGCCCCGAGGGAGGCCAGGAAGGCGCGAACGCCGGTGCTGGCTGAGGCGGCCGCCGATGCCCTCGCCGCCCCAGTCCGGCCGCCCGCCTCCGGGCCCCAGCTCGGCGCGCGAACCCTAGGACCGCACCGTCCGCGGCCTCCCTACCCCGAGCCGCAGACCCGTCGCCTTCGGCCCAGTACGAACTTCCCGCCGCTGTCGCCGACTCGCAACTCGGCGGCGACGCCGGCCCCTCTACACTCGGCAGTACGGAGCCTTCCCATTGGGTCTGGGCGACGGAGGAGGCGGGGCGAGCGGTACGCGGCGGGACGGGGGTGGGGCGGTGCTTTCCCCGTCTCCCTAGGCATGCCGGGAGCTGTGGTCCACGCGCCCGCTGCATGCTGGGAATTGGAGTCTTGGCGGCAAAGTAGGGCGCCGTCCCTCCGGCCCCTAGGGCTTCTGGGAAGTGTGGTTCACAGTTTCTGACTCCGACCTTCTGAACACACACATACTGAACCATCGCTGGTAGGAACCAAAGTACATGTGGCCGGTGTTCAGAGTTATTGAGTGTATTGACAGAGCATAGGATGAAAAAGAAGACCTATGTCCCCATTGGCTGAGTGCCCTGCACACTCGAATTTGCCTTTGCCTGTCTATGGAAGAAACCACATGCAGTTCAAATCCTAGCTCTTCCATTTTAGAGCTTTGCAACCTAAGGGAAGTTACTTAACCTCTGTGAGCCTTGGCTTCCTGTTTTTGTCAGGATTAAATGAGACAATGTATAGGCAATAGTTTGCACTTGGTGCTCAATAAATATGAGAGGGCCTTAGTATTATTATTCTGCTCACCTGTTGCCCGGTGTCTAAATTCTGTCTTTCAAAGTCTGTTTCAGTGTATACTGTAATTTCCTTGTACAAGTTTGCCTTGTATTTATAATCACTTGTCTAAGTCTGCATATCCACACAGGCTTTTTGCAGACTGGGGTGCTGTTCTAGGTCAAAATCACAAGACCATACGCAGAGGGAGATTTACAATGAAGCATGAGTGTCAGGACCTCTCTTTCATGGTATGTTTCAAAGCCCTGGGAAGAACCTTAACTGTGTTTATACATCACTTTGGAGATTTTTTTGGTATGATTTTCTTAAAATTGCATGAGCTTCAGTCCCCACAAAACCTGTAATCACTGTCCATTGGACAGTGCAGCATCGCACTGATGTCTTAACATTTGCCCCTCTAGATACCTCGCCTCACCAGATTCTCCCCATCCTGCCCTCTGCCCACGGAGGCTACTCCCTACAAACCATTCAAGATCCCTGTGCTCCCTGGCTTCTGTTGTGTTCAGCCAGTGGGGAACCCCACAGAGGACTGGAAGGAAAGCTAAGGGTTGGTTAATGGGTTCCCCCTGGTTTCCTCTGTCCCAGGCGCCTCCAGTTGGTCTTAGCCAAAGGTCACTGCTCCCTGCCTGCCCCACCTCCAGTTTGCAGGATCAGCCCTCCCTTTGAGCTTCAGATCTGGAGGCGGTGACACCATGACTTGCTGAGCCAGTCATGACTGCATCCTCCTGGTTTCCATCCCACACCTCTTTAAACAGTCGTATTACAAATAAACCCTGTTCAAATGATCCTATTTCAAATGTGTCATCTGCTTTCTACTGAGACCCTGACAGAAACATACAGAAGGAGGGCACTCGATGAATATTTGTCAGCAAAGAGGTCTCAAGATTCACACATCTCATGAGTGTGGAATCCCCCAGCAAGACTCTGTGGCTAGAATCCATTCAGTGAAAGACACTCTGTGCACGTAGACACACACACACACACACACACAGGCTAAGAAGACTTGGAATAGGATTTATCTGTTACAGTGTGACCATGTTCCCTGAACCTCACTGTAGACCTGCAGAAGAAAGGTCCCTCCTTCCACACTGGGTTAACAATTGGCTGGCCTTAAAGCACAATTAAATAAACCACAGTGAGTGAAGTGTTCCAGGGTGAGAATAGACTGTATTTATTCTGGAGCTCGTGGCTCTGGCACCTCAGTAGGATGGCTTACTGCTCAACGCTCCTTAAACGCAGCACATTTCAAGGCAGTTGCCAACACCTCCAACACCACCCACACATGCAGAGACCTCCTATCAGGGAAGAGCCCACAGGACCCCAGTCCGAGCTGCTGTTGCAGAGGAGGTGTGTCTGAAATGCTGCAGACAGGAACACCCTCAGCACTTTGTTACGCGTTGATAGCTTCATATCAAGGTCAAGGTTATGCAGAAGATTGACCAGTCAGGATGCTCTGTGGGTTAGGCTTTTAGAATTGAGAATTGAACCAGAGAAGAAGGGTCATGAGTACAATCCTGCCATGTGTTCATAAATACCTGGACAGTCAGACTCAGCACCTCCTGCGAGCTGGGGATTGGACTAACCTAGGGATACTGGTTTAACAAGTATTTAAGGAGGCCATGCTACCTGTATTTTTTCACATACATTATCTCCCCAATTCCTGGAAGGAAGAAAATGTCTCAAAGAATTTAAACAATTCCAGGTCCTCTGTTTCACCTTCTAAGTGTGTTTTTCACGACCCCTTTATACCCAGCTTCATGTGCTACATCAGGACAGTTCTTGTAAATGAACCATTTCGGCACAGTGGTGGAGACTTGTAGAGATCTCTGGCAGAGATGGATAGTGGGAGTCCTGGTTAAGAAGTCACCAAAGATGATCAGAGCAACTCAGAAGTGGGCCAGGCACCGTAAATAACAGTCTTCCAGCTGCCCAGCAAAGGCAGACCAAGCTTAAAATCCATCTGTGGAATCTGCATTGATCTGCCACATGGTCAGGCCCAGAAGGGAGGGAGCCCCTCCACCCTGACAGCCCCAGCATGCCGGCACTGAGAAATACACATTGTACAAGACATGCAGGGAAAGCGTTGGAGGTTGGTATGCTTCCCCCTGGGCAGAAACTCAATCCCTGAAGTTCAAACAGGCAAGAGAGTGGTTAGGAAGCAGCACACCCTGGCAGGCTGCCCAGCTGGTGGGGCTCCACCTTCGAGTCAGTTCGTGAGTCCTTGTCCTCGTTTTCATCTGTAGAATGGGAACAATTATCCTGGCCAACCAGCAATTTGCTTCCTCAAACTGAGGAGAGCTTTGATCTATCTAGGGCGAAGGCATTAAGGTGTCCTCGCAGCTCAACAACAATCCGAGGGAGGAAGGAAATGAGAGAGGAGTGAGGAACCGATGAGTTCAGGGGTCCCTGGCTGGTACTGACCATTGTTTTTAAGCACTTTGTGACAGGGTGGTGTCCTGACCCATGTATAATCCTGTGGGAAAGCCAGGTATGTCCACAAATTCTAGTAACTAAGATTTTTATGAGAACTTATCACATTCTTAGAAAACTGTCTCATGTAACCCTGCAAGATAGGTAATACAACCCTGGTGTCCAGAGAAAGAGACCAAGCTCCCCAGCCGAACTGATCGGCTCAAGGTCACACGACTAGTAACCAGAATATCGACTGTCTGCTGTAAATGCAGCTGGATGTCAATCACAACTGCTGATGCTGGAAAATGTGACGAGGTCAGAGCTAGTGGAGGCCCAGGGACTCTGTGCAGTGCTGCAGTGTTCTAGCTAGAGTCTGCTGGCTAGCCCTGCCCTTCAGTGATTAACCCTCTGTATTAAATCCCTTTGAGCTTAAAATACCTAGTGTGGTTACTGTGTCCTGCAGTAACCTTTGTCTGATACAGAGAGAAGCGGACCCAGATAAATGCAATCTCTCATCACTCCTAAGACGCAGGCTTTTCACATTTAAATCTCTCCAATATCAGGATAAGTCTTGCAATCCATTGCCTATGATAATTGGCAGTGGTTTTATAGCTTCTTGATTAGTAGCACATAAAATAATGGGACTTTTGACACTTGATGAAGCCTTAGATTTGATGAAGTCCTAGGATACCTGGCGCTTGCTAAAACAGAAACTCTCTCCAGATCCTCTGCCCCCACTTCATTTCCACTTCCCACATTGTATCTGGTGCTCCCAAACTCCAATGGGACCTTGCCTCCCTTATCCTTCTTCACACTTTTTGAAGGTGAAAACAATGTCCTTAGAGAAAGAAGCAATGTGGTGACGTGATGGGATGTGGGTTTTGGGAATGAGGCAGACCTGGGTCTGGAACCCTAATTGCTGTGTGATCCTGTATAAATTATTAACCTTGCCGAGGCCCCCTCTCATCTGTGAATGAGAGTAGCTGTTGGGATTCAATGAGAGACACCTTTAAATTGTGGCCCTTGGAAGTCACTCATGAAAGACACCCTGCTCCCTTCTTGTCCCCCTGCACTTCACGGGGTGCGCTTCTCACACCACTCCATCTCCAGGAGCCACCCTGCAAGCAGCTGTCATCATTTATTGTCGGTGGCTAGACACAGACTCAAGTCTAATATACATACGTGTTCATATCCAGCTGCCAAGTTGCAAACTGGGAAAGGAAGGAGAGCTTTTTCAAAAACAAAAGCAAATGGTTGCTTTTATTTTTGCAACTATCCAGCTCTTGTCATGTTTTGATTTCAGGGCTGCTCCAAGATTCCGGGACAAAAGGCACTATATATAAGCATTATTGTGAGACTCAAAGGGGCTCTGAGCAAAACAAAGTCCTTTTATTACAAGAGAATCGGAGAGACTTGTTGCCAAATATAGCTACGGCGTAGAAGATGCATTTTTCTCTTTTCCACACATCACCATCACCACTACCACGCTGTAGCTAGGTCCTTTCCCTGCCAATAAACTCTAACAAAATACTTTTAAGTGATAACAGATAATACATTTTCGCTGTTACCATGTGCCAGGCGTGGTCCTAAGTGCGGGGTCGTATCTCATTGGATCTTCTGGCACCACTTCGAGGTAAGGCACATTACTGCCCCATTTTACAGGTGAGGAAATTGAGTCTCGGAGAACTTAGGCCACGGACCCAAAGAGATCCAGCTAATAAGGAGTGGAGTCAGGATTTGAAATCAGCTGTATGATCTCAGAGATCAGGGTCCTCCTCCGTAACACAGGGCAGATGGGATTGCATGGCAAAGGAGGACGCGTGCTCCCTGATCTGCAGAAACCTACCAACTGATCACAGGGTACCTTTGAGCGAGGGCCCAATGGTAGCTACCCAGTGGCACAGGGGCAGGAGAATCATAGGGAGCCAAGGTTCTCTGGGGAGACAGGGCTCTGAGCTAGACTTTTTTGGGAGGAATTCCATGTCCCCCCTTCCACC